CCCCCCCCCCCCCCCCCCCCCCCGGAAGCCTCTGCCGCAGGCGCTCTTTCCGTCTCCTTTGAATTCACCAGCCATCACAATATTAAAAGCAGGATATTTCCGCTCAAGCACCTCTAGGTACTGGCTAAGCTCTTCCCAGGGCGAAGTCAGGTTTTCTTCTGTAGCACAGGGAGGCACATAAACATCAACTCTTATTAGAGACTTCCTTACATTTCAGTAAACAGGCCTGCACCAAATGTCTGGTTTCTCTTCAGATCGGATAAATCTTTCGCCTTTCCGTCTCCAGCAAGGTGGCTGCTGAGGGTGGCCGGGAGGGAGGGGAGCTCTGGCTGTGGCTGCTCTGGGCCTCTCCTCCGGGCAGTGATGGTGTCGGGGGGTCGTGCAGGCAGGGCCAGTTTTCTCTTGCGGCACTTTCCCGACTTCTGCCACTGTGTTCTTTCTCCTGCAGGGGTGCTGGCTTCCTTCAAGCTGCCTGCCTACGAGGAGGTGGCCGACCGCCCGACCACCCCCCCTCCCCCGTACAGTGCCGCCCTGGGGGGCTCTGCCAGCCGCCGGGGCTCCAGCACGCTGACCCTGACGGGCAGCTCGGAGAACTACACCAGCTGCTCCTGTGAGTCCAGCTGCCTGACGTCCCCCAGCAGCACCTCGCTGTCAGCCACTGAGGCCAGCACGCTCAGCGAGGCGGAGGCCGACGGGGCCGGGGCCTGCAGCAGCCGCACGGAGGGCAGCTGGGGGTCAGCCAGCCCCTCGCTGCCAGGCTGTGCCCCGGCCCCGAAGCACACGCTCTTCTCTTCCAACGTGGAGCTCTTTGAAGGTGATCCGCGGCGGGTCTCCGACAGCGATGAAACCCCGGACGCCCTGGACGAGGCCGAGCAGCACTTCCGGCACCGCCGCCTGACGGGGGACTCTGGGATCGAGGTGGGGCGGGGCCAGGACGAGGAGGCCCCGGAGGAGGAGGACAGCGAGGAGGAGGCCACACACTTGCTTGGCAAGGGGGTTCCCCACGCGCCCCCTCAACCCCCGTGTTTGTGTGGGGGACAGACTGAAGGGGAGCCCGAAGACCTGCCTTCCTCGCCTACGTTACCTGTCTGATGATGGGGGGTGGGTGGGGGATATCCTTCCGGCCATCTCTGAGGCTGCAGGGACTCGGGAGCAAGCAGTTCACTGTGGAGAATCACCGCCTTAGTACCGACACTGCCCTTGGCCAGGTCTCGCGTGCGTGCTGTCCTCGTCCTCTTGTCCAGGCAGCGTGTAGCGCCCCTCTCCCTAGCTCTGCGACCAAAGGTCTGCTGTTGTCCCCCCATCCCTGCCTTGGGGGCCCAAGGACTCTGCAACTGGGAGGGAGGAAGGAGCTGGGCCGCTCGCTTGCCTCTGGCTACTGTAGCGTCTGTGTGTGTGTGCGCACGCATCCCGCTGGCTCCATAACCTTTGGTACAAGGTGTAGCTCTTCCCTGTGGAGGTGTAGACCCCTGCCCTGCTCCCTTTCCTCTTGACAGCTGCACTGGGGTTGGAGACTGCTTGGTGCATCCAGAGGATGGTTCTGGCCGACATCTGCTGGAAGTGGGGAGCTGGCCTTCTCTCCCCCCCCAACCCCCCGCTGGAAGCAGCTTTGTCAACCCCTGCCACCCTGGTACTGTTGGGAGTGGAGGTTCATTCCACCTGTGCTATCTGAGGGCAGCAGTACGTGCTTATTATTAAAGAGATGTGGTAATTCTTGGCTCAGAGCACCTTGTTTTGATTGTGCAACAACAGGAAAAGGGTGTGGGGCCTACATGGTGGACTGACGGGGGGGGGCAGCCACCTGTAGCCGCAGCAGCAGCGGTGTTGTTGAGGAGTGTTGGTGGGTGACGGGGAGGAGGAGGTTGGTCCCGTCGTGCTGGGAGGAGGGGAGACCACCAGGGAAGTTCAGGGCTGCTAGGAGGTTGTTCCCATCGTGCTTGGAGGGGAGACCACCAGGGAAGCTCAGGGCTGCTGTTCAGAGGCCGGCAATGGCAAACCACCTCGGGATGTCTTTTGCCCCGGAAACCCCATGGGGGGGCAGTGTAAGTCAGCTGAGACTTGTCCACCCCACCCAGCCCAAGCCCTGAAGAAGAAGAGATTGGATTTATACCCCGCCCTTCACTACCCAGAGGAGTCTCAGAGCGGCTTACAAACTCCTTTCCCTTCCCCTCCCCTCCCCACAACAGACACCCTGTGAGGTGGGTGGGGCTGAGAGAGCTCTGACAGAAACGGCTCTTTTTCAAGGACAGCTCTTGTCAGAACTACGGCTTGCCCAAGGTCATCCAGCCAGGTGCAAGTGGAGGAGGAGTGGGGAATCAAACCCGGTTCTCCCAGATCAGAGTCTGCGCACTTAACCAGGACACCAAACTGGCTCTGTTCATACAAAATATCAAGTCACAGCTTACTTATGGTGCCCCCCCCCCCATGGGGGTCACCTTAGTCTTTCACACGTTGAACCCTGCGGTCCCCAAGAGCTGGTGGCTGCACCACTTTCAACTCAGTATTTTTTCCAGCTTCTCCTCCTCCAAGGCTTGGGCCATGGCCTTAGCCCGTCCCTACCTAGGAAGTAGCGTCCCCTCAGAAAGCCCTGGATCCAGTTCCTGCCTTTGCATACTCGTGGTAGCGAAGAGTCGCCTGCCAGAAGGCATACCAGGGAGGGGGCAGGGCTAAAACCACGCCGGTGGCTGTGAGAGGCCCCAAGCTGACTGCTGTATTTTTCACTCCCTTTTAACTGAGACAATACAGTTCCTCAGAGCTAGAATTCAGCTACACGCACACGGAAACAGCATACGCTTGCTCCCAGGGGTAAGGAGTATCCGCCTACCCTCTCGCAGGGGCCCTTATGCACAACTGCGTGATTCAGTTCTCTCCCACTGCTAGTCAGGCATCCCCAATCCAGAACAGGAGAGAGAACACTCCCAATTTTCTCCATTTTATTTTTGTAAGAAAATATTTTGAACAGTTTTCAACAGTCCATGGCCCAAAAAGGCCAGAGCCCGACTGGCCACCGGTAGCTGCACCGCCGCTAGTACTCCTCCGCCATCATGAGCAGGACCAGGGCGGACCAGCCCGTGAAAGGGTAGCAGCCCTGGCCCTTGCCCGTGCCGTCGTGGTACTGCTCCCAGAGGTAGCCGCTCTCCTGGTACTGCCGGAAGACGTTGCCAATGAGGTTGGCCCGCAGCTCCCGGTACAGGGCGGCTGCCGCCTCCCGGAAAGGGCCCTCCAGGCGGCCGTAGTGGTGAAGGGCCCGCACAGCCAGGTAGTTGATGTTGATCCAGATGGGGCCCCGCCAGTAAGGGGGGTCGTGCTCAGTGTTGTGCTTGAGGTAGAAAGGGCTGCTGCGCGAGAGGGAACGCAGGCCGAAGGGCGTCCACAGCTGCTGCTCGCTGCGCATGTCTGCCAGGAGGGCGCCCAGCCGTGGTGATTCAGGCCGCAGCAGCTGTAGCAGCAAAGGGAAAAGGCTCACGTAGCCCAGGGCGCCCCCGACAAACTGCAGCTTGGGGGGCTTGCGAACCACGCGCAGAAGCCTTGGGGTAGGGAGGGGCTGGCCTGGAGGAGGGGGCTGGAATCTCTCCCGCTCCAGCAACACCGCCTGGGTGTGGTTGCCATAGTCCGCGAAGGTGCCCAGGGCTTCCGCCCAGTGGTGCTGCTCCAGCAGCTGGTTGTCGGCCAGCGCCTCGGCCATGTGCTGGTAGTCCCCGGCGGGTTCCCCCAGGTGCGCGGCCACCCTGGCCATGACATCTGAAGCCAGCGCCATCCAGCAGCGCAGGTCAAGGTGGCGCTCGTCTGGTGACGGGTGCGAGGCCCTCGGATAATCATCCAGCCCCGAGGTCAGAGTCTTTGGGTTGAGAAACAGCTGCGTGTCCTGGTCCTGCCCACGCCACCGGAAGGCGTAGGGAACGGGTCCTGCCTGGGTGCGATTGTACCAGTCGTACCAGCTCTGCAAGCGGGGGTAGAGGCGCCGCAGGTAGGGCACGTCGGTGGCGCCCTGGGACAGGAGCTGCTGCAGCACTAAGAAGAAGGTGGGGGGGTTGCCCGCAGTGCTGTGCTGCACCACAAACTCCGCAGGCACCTTGGTGCGGGCCTCCTCGCCCAGGATCTGCTCACGAGGGATCCAGCCTTCGGCGTTCATGAGGTCGAACCAATGTGCCAGCACCTCACGGGTCAGGGCTGGATCCCAGCGGCTCAGCAACAGTTGGTGGAAGCCTTCGTCCCACAGGAAGCCCCGTGGGAAAAAGGAGCGCGAGGGCACAGCCGTGAAGAGGGGGCCTTCGAGATAGGGCTGCGGGCGGTCACTGTGGGGAGCCTGCACCAGCGAGTGCCCGTAGAAGTAGCCCATCCCACCCAGCATGTTGCTGAAGGCGGCCTTGGCAAAGTCCTGCTCCTGTGCAGAGAAGCCTTTGCGGGCCAGCCCAAAAGTCCTCTCAAAGCGCTCCTCAAAGGCGCCCCTGTGCCTGGCCAACTCTTGCGCCAGCACCTCTCCCGCCAGACGTCCAGCACGGTCAGCAACGCTGCCCGACTCAAAGAGCACCTCCAGTCGGCAGGGCACAGCCACGGTCACCTGGTGAACAAGGAGCTGGCTACGAGGCTCGACCCCGTCGGGCGGTCCCCGGTAAGCGTCTACACCAAAATAGCGGCGCTTGGGGGCCCCCGGCGGTGCATACACAAAACGAGGACTGAGGCTGGCTTTCACGACATCGCTCAGGCGGTGCAGGCCCTCCGCCTTCGCCTGTAGGTAGTTGTAGCTGGAAATGGAGAGAGAAGAATCATGGCAAGAGAAGCAGACAACCAACTGTACCTCCCACAACCTCTGCCCTGGGGCAGGGCTGCTGCTCAGCCTGGCAGGTGGCAAAGTACCTGGCATAGAGCGGAGTCGTGCCAATCTCACTGGTGGGCTGCTGGAAGGTGACGGTGAAGTCCCCCAGCTCTTCCGTTGTGCCTGTCAGAGAGGACATGCGGTTCTTTTCCACCACCAGAGGCTGGAGCGTCCCTTGTCCATCAGTGGCCACATAGAAGAGCAGGGAAATGAAGGCCGGTGGGGTCCCCGCCATTCTCTGTAGACAGACAGGAAAGGGGTGTCGGATGTTCACCTGGCACAGCCAAAGCAATGACAAGCTTTCTTGTGATAGCCATGGAGCAGGGTCACTGTGTGTGTGTGTGGGGGGGGTATTTGTGAATTCCCTGCCTTGTGCAGGGGGTTGGACTAGATGACCCTGGAGACCCCTTCCAGCTCTATGATTCTTCGGTGATTCTAGCCCAGCCTAGACTGGTGATTATTTTGAAGACCATTCCACCACTAGTGAAACCCTCTCTAAATTCAAACGAGACATCGGACTTGCTAACAGACCGTCCAACCGCACAGACCCTCCCCATCACTTGGGTATGTCTTGGTATTTGCCACCCTGAGGTGTAAGAGGCAGAGTGGAGCCCCCTGGGAAGTTCGGCATCTGCCCCATCGGACACCCACCTGCGCGTTCAACAGGGCTGTAATGTCCCGGAAGGGGGCACTAGAAGGAGAGAATGCTTAAGATGAGCCTCGGCTGGTCGGCGCCCCCCGCCCCCCCCCCAGATAGATGCCTGCCTGCCGGCCAGCTCCAGTCTCCGCCGTGGCGGCCGCCGGGCCGCTTGACGAACTCGGTCTGCAGGCGGAGGCCGGCGTCGCGGATCTCCTGCGCGCCGAAGTGGAGCCCGTCGTGGCGCAGCCAGCCGTAGCGGGCCAGGCGGTCGCTCTGCTCGCAGGTGTGCCGCAGCCGGACGTCCCCCTCCGACGGCCGCATCCACATCAGGCCTGGGCGGGGGGAGGCAAAGGAAGAGACCGGCGCCCGGCGGTGAAGGCGGGTCGCGGGAGGGGGGAGAGGGCGGTGCCCGGGCCTCCCCGCCCTTACCGCCCCCCCAGGAGGAGGAGGGGGGGCGGCCCCGCCGGACGGACGGACCTGCCACGGGGGCGCGCGGGCTGCGCGTCTTCATGCCGAAGTAGACGTGGGGCCGGTAGGAGCCCCAGAAGAGGCCCGGCGCGGCGGCGGCGCTGCTGCAGTTGGCCGGGAGGGCGCGGGCGGCCGGGTGCGGCGTCGTGGCCGGGGAGGAGGCGGAGAAGAAGGAGGAGAAGGAGAAGAGCCCCCAGCCCGCCGCCAGGAGC